CCCCCCTCGCCTGGGGCCCCCCCCCCAGGGGGCCCCCCCCCAGGGGGCCCCCCCCCGTGGCCTGGGGACCCCGCCACGGCCTGGGGACCCTCACCATGGGGACCTCCACCATGGGGACCCCCACCGTGGCCTGGGGACCCTGCCACGGCCTGGGGACCTCCACCGTGGGGACCCCCACCCTGGCCTGGGGACACTTGGTATGGCCTGGGGACCTCCCCCATGGCGTGGGGACCCTCACCACAGCCTGGGGACCCCCGCCGTGGCCTGGGGAGCCCCATTATAGCCCGGGGACCACCACTGTAGTCTGGGGACCCCTTCCATCACCTAGGGACCCCCTCCAGGGCCTGGGGACCCCACCATGGTCTGGGGACCACCACTGTAGCCTGGGGCCCCCCACCAGGGCCTGAGGACCCCCCCATGGTTTGGAGGACCCCCCCGGCGTGGGGGACAGGTGGGGCTGGCCGGGGGCGCAGGCAGGTGGGGCGCAGGCAGGAGGGGCGCAGGCAGGAGGGGCCCTGGGGAGTTTCGGGGCTGCTGGCCGTTTCCTGCCGGGTGAGTCACGGCCGCGGCAGCTCCGAGCCGCGGAGCCCCGCGGGGCCGGATGGCGCTTTCGGGAAGTGAAACGGGCACCAGGAAAACACCCCAACAGCCCGCGGCCACGCAAGCCTGGCCACTCACGTCCCCGGCACCGGCAGCGGGACGGTGACAAGGACTGTCCCCAGAGGCACCGTGTCCCCAGGGCCCGTGTCCCCAGGGTAGCGCGGGCGGGCACAAGGGACCGAGGGGACAGCGGGGTCCTGCGCCCTCTGATACTGGGGCGGTGGTTTTGTCCCCCCAAAAAAGCAGGGTTCTTTCACCCGGTGTGCAAAAAGCCGACTGACACAGAGCCGAGACGTGGATTCGTTCCATGTCTGCACAGAGACAGGTGGTAACCCCACAAAGCCTGCGCACCTCGGTTAGCGTGCGGTGACGTTTCATACATTCATAGTAGCTGTTCTCGGTGTTTTGCCGTTCCACATATTCATCCTTGCTTCTATTCGTTCTCACAAGCCTCGTCTCCACTTAAGGGTACAGCGTGTTTTAAATTTACAGCACACGCTCAGTGGGTAGGGGTCTTTGCTTTGCCAGGGGCTTCATTGCCGAAGGTGTGGGTTTTGCTACAGTAATCAGGATCGTTCACTCATGGTTCAAGTGATTCTCACTTCGGCTTTATTGGCAGCCTTGTTTTCTCGTGTTTATATTGGTATTTCCTTGCTTGACTGCTTTATGGTGTCCTCCAGTTTCTTCTCTCAGGCCTGGTGTCTCCGGTGGCTTAATCCTTGGGTGGCAGCTTCTCAGCCCCGGGACCTGGAGACTCCTCTCTACCAGTCTTTTGTTTCTTCTTCCTCATTAGAAGTTCCTCATTAGCCCGCTTCTATCTGTTCCAGGGTACTGACTACAGTGGGGTGACGGAAGGGGCTCTGCCGGCCACGGTGCCGTGGGCCCGGGCAGCGCAGGAGGAAGCCATGGGGAAATGGCGGAGCAGCAGCATTTGCGCCACCGGCCCCTTCCGGGGCAGCTGCGGTCCCCGGCCCTGACGAGGTTGGGCGTCATCGGTGGGCTGGGGCTGGGGCAATCCCTGCTGGGTCAGCCCGGCCGCCGAGGGCCGGCACGCAAGCACCGACCCCAAACATGGCCCCTGCTCTCTGCCCCACGTGCCGGCCCCGGAGCATCGCCCTGCTCTCCGCCCCGCGCAGCAACCCCGCAGCATCCCGCCCGCTCCGCCCCGCCCCGCTCCCGCGCCCTCGCTCAGCCCCGCGGCGCTGCCCGGGGGCAGCCGGGCCCCCAGCCTCCCCAGTCTCACCGGGGAAATTGGGCAAACCCGGGCGTTGCGAAAGGTGGAAATCCCGCTCTGACGGCGCTTCCTTCCAGCAGCCCTTGAAAACCCACTGCGCCAACGCCGCAGAGCACCCAAGCGACGCTGCAGGCAGGACAGGCAGGAGCAGGCAGCCAAGCGCCGCGGCACTCAACAGGTACCGGCAAGTCTCTGCCCAGATTTTTGCAATCAGCGGTGGAGATGGCGTTCGTCCCCGATTTGGACACACTGGAGAGCGCCAGGTAAGCGCGGCCGTGCCGGAAGGGACTCTGGGGACATGATCCCGCCCTGGTGCCATGGTGGCCCTGGCTTCACCACCTCCCTTTGCCTTTCAGCCTGAACGAGGAGACATTTTATGACCCCGACTGCCTCTGCCCGCAGAAGGTAACACTGGGGTGGTGGGAATGGCGAGACCTCCATGGGGTGTCCAAAGGGGAAGCCGGGCTCTCACCCCACATCCCCTTTCCTCCCCAGAAACCCCACCTGGACTTGGAGGTGACATCGCCCGGGGTGGACATCCAGGTGACGGTGACCCAGGGGCACCCTGTCAGGACCTTTCGCCAGGCTGCCGTCCTTGTGGTGGCTGTGACCAAGCTCCTGAAGCGGCCAGCGCACAAGGACTTTGCCGACAGTGACCTTGGGGGCTTCCTGGATGATATTTTCGGTATGGGGGGGTGGTGTCGGGGGTGTCACCCCAGCCAGGGGATGCTCTTGGGGGATGCTTTTGGGCCCGGGTGCAGCAGCATCCCCCTGACCGTCTCCCTCCCCGCAGAGCCCGTCTCCTTCCAGTGGATCGAGGGCAGCTACGCCGGGGCACCTGTCTACCGCTACACCCGCTCCCAGTCCTTCGACATCCTCGACATCGACAAGAAGTGCTTCGTGCTGGAGTCGCCCACCCAGCTGGTGGCCCTGCACCTGCAGGGACCCTCCGCCGAGCGGAAAGGTGAGGGGACCACGGTCCCGACCCAATGTCCCCGTCCCCAACCCCGAGACCACCTGGGAGCCACCCCACAGCCCCGAGACCACCATTAACCCATCCCTTCTCTCTGCAGTGAAGCTCAACATCGCTCTGTACCGTCCCCGGTCATCGCAGGGCGGCCCGGGGACCGGGCGGATGCCAGTGGCATTGGGCATCAAGGGCTACCAGCTCTATATGTCGTGCGTGATGAGCGGCGCCAAGCCTGTGCTGCAGCTGGAGGTGAGCGGGGAGCCCGCTGGGTCCATCCCCCCTGGGGCTGGGGGCTCCATCCCACCCTGAACCCTGTTTTACCCCTCTGGTTGTAGGAAGCCGACATCAGGAGGGACATCAAGAGCATGGAGCTGACCCGCTTCATCTTCTACCGCCTAGACAGCCCGAACGATAAGACCACCCGCTTCGAGTCGGCCGCCTTCCCCGGCTGGTTCATCTGCACCTCCCTGCAGCCCCGCCAGCCCGTCGGCATCACCAACCAGCCCGACCAGGTCAACATCGCCACCTACGAGCTGAGCTGAGCGGGCACTGAGGACCCCCGCACCCAACCCAACCCAACCGGCAGTGGCCGGTTTTCAGGCTGTATGTACCGAGTACAAACCCCCCAGCTGGGACCCCCGTCCTCCCCATCTATTTCATGTGAAATAGCAGCTCTGGGCCCCGTGGGCCCGAGTCACCCTACTTTGGACATGTTTATTGTGTCTGTCCAGTGCTTTAATACTTATTTATTGCATCCGCCCCTTGCTTTTAACTTATATAAATTTTATCAGAAATATTGTGGTTTTGTTATTGGGAATGGGGGTATTTGCTGGTGATGGAGGTGGAAACAAAAGGTTTCCCGGGATGGCGTCGCTCAGCTCGTTCCTCTCACAGGGGTTAAATGATGCGAGAGTGGTTTACGAATGGGAAAACCCCACTCTTTCGGCTGCTTTTGGGGGTCTCCAGGTCTGGGCGCAAAGCCCAGGGGGTGGGGGCGACCCTACGGCCCAGGGGCCACCCTGGCTCGGCCGGCCCCACGCTGGACCCCCCGCCACCCCGTCCCCCCGCCCCCCCGCGGCCGGGCGGGCCCCCCCGGGGCCC